TCGTATGCTCTTGTGCACCCAACGCCGCGTGCACCACCTCATCGCGCGCATCATGGCCCGATGCACGCCATATGCCCAATAGCCGATCTTCCTCGACCCCTTTGTCGCTCAACTCCGTTGGCTCGCCCGATGGCCATGGGTCCCAACCATCCAACCCAATACAATCTCCAACTTGCCATATCCAACCATCTTCCATTCTCTGCCTACCACGCCTTCGAGCTTCTATTCTCCAAACTCGCCTTTTCCTTGCACACGGCTTGCACCAACACTTCCCTTCCTTAGCCTTTGCCTTGTGTTTCCTTCGCACTTGCTTGGCCTTGCGTTTCCGAGCCTTCACCTCTAACTTCGGACCACATCCTTTTGGCCAATCTCGTACACATGATGACCGGTAAATCGGACTTGTAGGCTCCTCTAGCTTGTTCTCCAACCATATGTTGAGATCATCGCCACCTTCATCCTCCGACTCGCCTGGGTTGATGACCACTTCCGTATCATTCCCTCCTCTTCAAGACTTTCCTTGTCCTCAAGGATTAGAAAATTTAGCGCACCTTCATCGCCATTGTCTTGAGCATCGATCACCATTGCTTCTCGGGCTTCTACGAGTTGTCGCTTGTACTGTTCTATATTCTTTCGTTCATGAAGCTCATCTAGATATGTTTTCTCCCATGGTGTGAGCTCTCTTTCCAAACCTTCCAACATCTCAAGATCTTCCCAATCTAACTCATCCATTGGTGGGTAAGACATATTCTTTTTTTTTTTTTTGACTCTAGAAAAATAACAAAAGACTAACAAGATGACACTTTTTTTTTTGAGACTCACGAAAAAATATGAAAAATTCGAACAAAAATTCGAAAATTTCGAACCAAAAATGAACAAAAATTCGGCCCCCTCAGGAAAAGGCAAAACCAAAAGAAGAAAAAAGATAGATAGATAAAAATTCGATCAGCACCTCTCAATGAAAGCACCAAGATGACGGATTGAATTTTTGTCTATTTTGGTTTGTGAATAATTGTGCACTCAGGGCCTTCGATTACTCACGATATGTGTATCTAACAGACACACTATCGGCCTTCTCCTAGACACTGTGACATCAAGACGCTCTAATGGTCTTCTCTCCGACACTGTATGTAAACACGCACTAATAGCCTTGTTTAAACACCCGTTAGAACATAAAGTTCCCCTCACAATTGGCTCACCAATTCAATACTCAATTCAACTCTCAACATGTTTATTAATGAAGAGGTACATGGGTATTTATAGATGCCAATTACCTCTAGTGCTAATCTTACTAGGCAACTATTAAAACAATAAAATACTAAATCCTAAGGTAAGTAAATATCATACTACCAAAAAATCCTAAATCTACTAGATTTCCTAATTACTTGTCTTGCACTCCAAACAATTCTAGATGCTCCAAGTCTTTCCCAAACCATTCTCCGCCTCAGCACTCCACGGCCGCCTTTGCGCACGCGCCCTTCGGTCTACTAATCCTTGGCACGTGAGGCATCGCGCGCCTCGTTCATGTTGCACGTGCGCGCCTTGTCCGTGCTGACTGCCCCCTGCGCGTGCGTCTCCTCGCGTGCATCGCCTAATCCTGCCCCGCCTAGGATGCCCGCGCCTGTGCTGCACTAACGCGCTATCGCGCGCTCCCCATCGCTGCTGCCATTCTCTCGCGCGTATGAGCCGTCGCCCGGTACTCCCTCGCCTACGCGGTCGCAGTCTGCTCCTGTCAGCACATCGCCCGTCTCGCCTAAGCCTACACGGCTTAGGCCTTCACCCGCGCTCGTCCACTCGCTGCTGCCCGCGAGCCCCGCACCATTGTCGGCTTTCCCGCACGTGTGCACTGCCGCTTTTCCTAGGCCCCCTAGGCCTAGGCCTTCATCCGCGTGTGCTCCCTTCACGCACTCCGCGTTCCCTGTCACTTTGCCACCAAACGCCAACGTGTCCCAGTCAACCTCCGCAGCCTGTTCGCCCATCGTATGCTCTTGTGCACCCAACGCCGCGTGCACCACCTCATCGCGCGCATCATGGCCCGTGTAATATCCCAACTTTTCTCAGTATAATAATATTTCAGTTCCGATATTATTTTTCGGAAGTATTTATTTTCAGTTATTTCAGTCGAAATTACCGGAAAATATTTTCGACGTACCGTCTACGTTCGAAATAATTTTGGTAAATTAGCATTATGTTTAATTAGTTAATTAAACATAATTAAGTGATTAATTTTAACTTTATCACGAGATTAGCTAACGGTTCGGATTTTATTCCGAGTTCATGTTCATCGCCGTGCGTTGGGTGCATTCATGCCGTGTGTGGGTGTGTTCGGTCCAAGTCCATGAGCAA